AAGACAAGCTAATTCACCTTATCTCCATTTTGCAAGAAACGGTTATAGAAGACGTTAGGGAGATTTTATCTAACAAAGAACAATACGGAGGATTCATGTTTCTCCAGGGGAATAAGATGTTATGCCAAACAAGGATCATATGATAAAATCTGTGGAAAAAGGTGAGGCATTGTCCTTCTGGACAAGAAAGATTATCTCCTTAAAATATACAGATTACTTTCAGATTTAGAAGCTTATTAATGTTAAAAAGGAATCCCAAAGTTTAATATAATAGGAACTAAAAAGTTTAATAGAGAGAGGATATAAAAGGCGGACTCTGACTAAGAGGGAGACCCATTATACGGGGTATTCACTCATAAACCTCAAAACCTGGTTGTTTTTAGATAATTTTTGACTAGGACTCCCTCTTAGTTAAAGGATCCCAAGCAATTTATTAAAGGAGAACTATGGGGTTAAGTCTTTTCCCCATAGTACTCCTTAGGGTAACGGGAGGACACAAACTAGTGTCCTCCCATTACCCTAAGCTCAGTATATAGAGAGCTACAGCTCGCGGTATACTGAGATGCCACAGCCGGAGCGGATCCCGTCATCGATGTCGAGATCCGCCCAGCTGCGTGAGTGACAGCTGGCTCTGCCTATCTAGAGGCAGAGCCAGCTGTACCCGCCCCCTCCCCGTCCGTTCCTAGAGTCAGCGCTGGCGGATCGGAGCGGGGAGGGGGGAATCCAGCCCCTCCCCTGTCACGGCAGAGAGCCCACACTGGACACCAGGCTGAGGATCAACTCCAGCTCTCGTAAGGTATTGAGACTGGGTAGATCTTTTGAATGGCATCCCAAACCCACCTCCCACCCGCAGTTCGATCGCCAACACTGGAACACGCGGTTCCGCAATGTCATGGGTTCCATTGCAGTGCGACTTGGGTCGCGACTTACTGACCAAGGACAAATGTGGGTCCTGAGGTTACACAGGTTGAGAACCACTGGACTAGAGAAGACATGTAGATAATATATTCATTATTGGGATGGATATATGGCATCTTTAGAAGATTTTATGACAGGTAAACAATAATGATAATTGAATAAAATTAACCATTGAGGATGGTTATTATGTTCCTCCAAAACAACAAAAAATATAAAGTCACACTGTGTGCACCAAATGCCTTTGCAAACAGACATTGCCATATAAAAGTATCTGTGACATCATCACTTTGCTGTACATAGCCTGTGCAAGAGAGTAGAGCTGTGGGAGAGACCCATCAGGCTCCACCCACTACATGCTGCCTGTAGAAAACATCAGGAAGGGGCAGAGACTAGACCGGCCCCTCTGCACAAGGAGAGAGAGCATCAGTGACCAGTCTTCATTACAGGAGGAGGCGGAGATAAGACCAGCCACCCTGCACAAGGAGAGAGAGCAGCAGTGAGCGGTCATTATTACAGGAGGGGGCGGGGATAAGACCAGCCACCCTGCACAAGGAGAGAGAGCAGCAGTGAGCGGTCTTTATTGCAGGAGGGGGCGGAGACAGGAGTGTTAGAAGGACCCTGATTATGAGAGCTTACAATCTAAAAATGAGGGGCAAGTGATACAGATGGTAAAAACTGTGAGGGATTCAAGGAGTTGACTTACAGTTTATAGGAGGAGGTAGGAGAGGATTCTCTGAAGAGATGAGTTCTCAGGGATCACCTACCGTAAAGGCAGACAAAGTAGGACAGATTGGGATAGGGAGTTCCAGAGCATGGGAGAGGTGTCTCCAGGGAGATCATGGAAGTGAGCATGAGAAGAGGTGATTAGAGGGCTAGAGAGCAGGAGGTCCTGGGAGGAGTGGAGTGGATGTTGTCCCGGAAAGGATATTAAGTAGAAGATGTAAAGTATGTAAATTGAATACATATAATGGGAAAATAAAACACATTTTCTAATTAGATTAAAACAAAAACCAGGAGAGGCATTTAACATGAATGTATTTGTGTCTTGTAATACCACACACATGGTGAACCTTCTGCACTGGCCGTGTGGTTTACAGTAGGGATGCACCCAGACCGGTATTTCGGTATTGAGTATGAGTACCGATTTTTTTCCCGGTACTCTCCGATACAGAATACCGTTACTGGAAGTCCCATTAATGAAGCCAGGCGGCGTCACTGGATATAATTGACATAATGGAAACAATAGACAGGATATAATGGACATAGTGGGCATAATGGACATATTGGACAGAACATAATGGACAAGACACAATGAACATAATAGACGGGACATCATTGAGATAATAATTGACAAAATTTACATAATGGACAGGATATAATGGACATTAATGAGATAATGGAGATAATAACATAACAGACGTAATACACCTAATGGATATAATAGAGAGGACATAATTGACATAATGGATATAATGGAGAGGACATCATGGGCATCATAGAAAGAACACAGTGGACAAGGAATAATGGACATAATAGACATATTGGACACAATGCACAAGGGATAATAGTCATGATGGACATAATGGAAAGTACATAATAGACAGGAGTCAGGACATAATGGAGATAAAGGACTGGACTGAATGAACATAATGGACAAAATGGAACTTAAAGTACATAATAGAGAGGACATCATGGACATAATGGACAGGACATAATAACAATGACATAATAGAGATCATAAGGCTAATGGACAAAATGTCCTTAATACACATAAAGGACAGGACATAGTGGACATAATGGGCAGGGCATAATGGACATAAAAGACATAATGGGCAGGACATAGAGGACACAATGGATTTAATGGACAAGATATAATGGACAAATGGACAGAAGGTGTCTACATTAAAGATAAAAATGGATTTATCAGATGGAAACGCTAGTATCTGGTGAAGGCCGGTTTGGCAAAAACGTGTAGGGTGGAGAAAGCACTGGTGACACCAGACTCTAATAGCACATTGTGGACTTTTGGATGTTCTGCGAGTTTTAAATTGTTTTAAACATTGCATAAAATCGATTGACTTGTGCTATCTGGATTTCTCAGTGGTGGTTTGTGTTTTTTTTGGTGGTTGTTGTGTTTTGTTGATGGTTTTTAAAATAGCGTCCCTATACACGCTTTATCTTGATGTGCATATCATTCTTTTGCATGCAAATACTTACAATGAACCGGGCCGACCATTAGCAATGCAAACTTTTATACTGTAGAAGTTGATTGTTTTGTGTATAATCCATAGTAAGGTGTGTTTGAAGAGGACTGATGGAATTTTTGTCATTTCTGAGAAATTACGTTGAACGTGAAATGCAGGTTGTAGAGGGGTATATAAGAAGCATGGTGTAGTTCTGGGGCGCCCACAATTTTTCGTTTGGAGATCTACCTTTCAAATGACGAGCTCAACGAGATCTAAATGTCAACACAAATAGAACACAAACTGGGTTATTCACAAAAGGGTGAAGAGTTTGGAGAAGGCCAGAGAATGGACCAATCTAGGATTCTAGGACAACATAGCTGACCTTGAAAGTGAGTTGAATTGGAGAATGTTTCCAAATCAGCTATTTTGGCCTAGATTGTTTCCTTGTCCTCCCTCCTCCAAACTCTTCACCCTTTGGGAAACCCCTTAGGGGGGCATCCTGTTTGCTATAAATTAACTTAAGATTAGTTAGTAGATGGCATGATAAGATGTTTTGTTTGTTTTATGCTATGCGCTTGCTGTACAAAGCCCTCCTGCATTAAATTGTATTTGTTTGCTGCCTTGCTGAATAAAATTGCAGGACAAACCTGCTTGGACTTTTCCTGGGTGTCCCTGTCTCCAGCATGGTTTACTGCTGCCAATAAAAGTTGAGCCTGCCACCCTTTCAACCTAAAATGCCAGTATGTAAACTGACACAGTTTAAGGATAGCTATGCACCCGAGTCTGGTCACTGATACCCAATATGCAGTAATACCGAAAAAAATTCTCTGCTTAACTTTGAGTGTTAACATGTTGTGTGACTACATGTGAACACTCACAATTCTCAATGAACCCTCTGCTATACACCCCTACCTACTTCTGGAAAATGTGGACAAGTCTATAATTTTGCCACTTTACAGATCACTGGTTCGGCCACATCTGGAGTATGCGGTCCAGTTTTGGTCACTGATACTCAGAAATGATGTCCTTGAGCTGGAAAAAGTCCAGCGGAGCGCAACCAAACTCAATAAGGGGTTCGAGGATCTGAACTATGAAACAAGGTTGTTAAAATTAAATATGTTCTCGTTGGAGGTTAGGAGATTAAGGGGGGACAGGATTTTCCTGTATAAACTATTCAAGGGTGACAGCAATCTTAGTAACAAACTGTTTACGGTCAGCTCCGTAACAAAGACCAGAGGGCACCACCAAAAATTGGTGGAAAAAAAATGACAACATACTCGGTGCAAGGTGTTCTTCACAGTCAGAGCGGTTAAGGTCTGGAACTCGCTGCCGCAGGAAGTGATTTCAGCTAAGAGTGTGGAATCATTCAAGAGACTCCTGGACGAGTTCCTTGGAGACCAGAACATACAGGGGTACAGGTACTGCTAAGAGAAAAATCACACATGGACTCATATACACGCACACACCAGTTCCTAAATGCATACACGCAATAGGTTGGACTTGATGGACTTATGTCTTTATTCAACCTCAAATACCTCATGTAACTATGTGTGTCCCCTTTTCTATAGTGAGATGGTTGACTTATCCACAAACTCCCCTATAGGCCCTTCCAAACCTGATGGTCATAAAGCAAAGCCCGTGCAGTGCATTATGGTTTAAAACAATCTTCTAGGAAAATCTGCACAAAAATGTGCCAGGACTGTGAACCTCAAACTCACAAAATTCACGTTAAAGCCATGGTAGGGTTAAAGCCAAACCTCATCCCTAATAATGAGCAACTCAGACCTAAAACCGATATCTCTGTTATCATATCACCATTTTCTTTTGGGACGCATGTATGTATTTATTTCTTTGTTTATGTATCAGATCTCTCTTCAAAGATTCTGGATTGCGAGGATGATGTTTCTGCGCGCTGCTACCATCTTGTGGATTGTCTGTGGTCTTACCTCAGCATGTAAGGACTGCTTGTAAAGTCCACCGAGGACCTGAATGATGATGACGATGATGATGATGATAATAAGGAAATGACAACTACATACAGAAAATATAGTATTAACTAGAAGCCATTGAGGAGAGTCATGGCAGAAGAAGCTTACAATCTAGATGACTGATAAAGTAATAGTGTTGGAACTGGAAAGAGTTCAGAGAAGGGCAACTAAATACATTTGGGGAATTAAAGGAGAACTGTGAGGTCAGGGCTTTCCCCCATAGTTCTCCTTAGGGTAACGGGAGGACACCAACTGTAGGACAACGGGAGGACACAAGCTGTAGCTCGCGGTATACTGAGACGCCGCAATCCGACAATTATGCCGGGATCCGCCCAGCTGCGTGAGTGACAGCTGGCTCTGCTTATCTAGAGGCAGAACCAGCTGTACCCGCCCCCTCCCCCGTCCGTTCCGCTAGTCAGCGCTGGAGGATCAGAGCGGGGAATCCAGCCCCTCCCCTGTCATGGCAGAGAGCCGTGACAGGATCGAGAGGTGAGCGAACGCTGGTATGTGTTCGCTCACCTCCCGATCTACTGAGCCGACCTGTGACAGTCTCATTGTCACAGGTCGGCTAGAACTATGAGGTGAGTGAAAAGCACCTCACCTCATAGTTCTCCTTTAAGGACTACAACTTTGAGGAAGATAAACTGAACTTATTCACACTTGAGAAGAGGCACATAAGGGGGGGACATGGTCACCTTCTATATACCCAATGTGGACCATATGGTAAATTCACTGATAAGATGTTCATTTTAAGGTCATCACAAAAGACACATGGGCGCAACTGGAGGGAAAGAGGTTTAAAGCAGGCTTTCTATGAAAGCACAAGGTCCGCTTTAGTGATAGACTTCCATTACACAAAGTCATATTACCTACAAATACCTATCAAAAAATAAAATAAAAACGTACCCTGGCCCAACTTCCAGTAGACGCTGGTGATGTCACTGTACCTCACCGCTGCTTCTTGGTATAGCTGGGCGTGCTATAATGCCCTCCAACACATTTCACATAGATAAGGAGATGGACTGATAAATAGAATATGTTTATATAATGAACATGTTTTATATCTTCTCTCTTATGCTTCCCAACAGATGAGAATGTTGCCCTCCGGGGTCGAGCCACTCAGTCCTCAATCTACCGGAGCCTAGGTGAAGGTTATCTGACCAATGCCATAAATGCCATAGATGGGAACCAGGACTCGGCCTTCTCACACGGCTCCTGTTCATGTACAAACAAAGACCCGTCTCCCTGGTGGAGGGTGGACCTGCTGAAACCTTATAAAATTGCCTACATCACCATCACCAATAGAGGAGACTGCTGTGGTGAGAGACTGAGCGGAGCTGAAATTCTCGTTGGAGACTCTCTGACCAACTACGGAAATGACAATCCCCGGTGAGAGTCGGTGTAATATACAGAATTTGTATTTTGGTATCTTCTAAGGCCTTTTCTGCTAATCATCCACTTAAGTACCTGCTGGTGTATACCCCTTCATGACCTTTTTTCACTTTTCAGTGCTGTGATAGCTTAATTGACAATTATTCGGTCATGGAATAGTGTACCTAAGTACAGGGCCGGATTTACTCTCTCTGCTGCCCCAAGGTTCCTCAATGCCCCCCCAAACCCCCCAACCCCCCCCTCCCCCATGGAGAATGGCAGACCTGCAGGCTGTATACAAGTGATCTCAGCGACATCACCAGGATCACTTGTACAAAGCAAGCGGTGGCTTCCCCGCTGTACATTTACATATGCTTGCCCAAAGCGGGGCTAAATGCTGCCCCTATACTCCCTGCTGTCCCAAGGCCGAGCCTTGGTTGGCCTTATGGGAAATCTGTCCCTGCCTAAGTAATTGTTTTTTCAGAATCCCAAAGCTCAGAACACATTTTAAAGCACATTGCTGTCATTTATAATTGTGCAGTATTTATTAAAGCCGAGCAGCCACACCACTGATTTTTAAATAAGCCCTTTGTTTCTGCACCTAACATCTGCTTATGATGAGTACAATTGCATTGTTAGGTTGAAAAAACTCCATCGAGTTCAAACAATAGAAAAACATGAATAAATGTAAAACCTGCACAGCCACCCGAACATGCTGCGGGTGGCTGTGCGGCAGGGAAGGAGCGGCACGATCTAGGGGGCCCTCTTCTTTCTCGCTGGGCCCCGCCAAGTGGCGGAACGCCAGGGCCTGGTCGTGCTGGAGTCTATACCTCTTATAGCACAAGAAAGTATTTTGCTTGCTGTAGAAGTATTGGGAGGTGTTGGTGGAAAGGAAGAAAATGGAAGTTGATGGTGTGGTGGCATTTGGTGGTGATGGTGAAGAGGTCAAACATAGAAAATGATGAGGGGGAGGCATTGAGAGGTGACAATAATGGGGTTTGGAGGACCGGACCTGATGGCAGGAGAGGGGCGGCAAGAGCTTATGTTTTTGAAGTGGGCTTGGCAGACATCAATACCAGAATGTAGGGGCCAAGAATAACGAGGATCTGGTTTTGAGAGGGGAAGCTTATTCAAAGAATGTGATGGCGGGGGTGCACGGAAGGTGGACAGAACAAACAGGAATGTTGATGGAATCTTGGAGAGAGAAAGGGTTGGAAACGTAGTAAACCATAGGAGTAGAGCAGCAAAGAATAGCTGCAGAGTACGGGAGCAGAGACACAACTTTATGTAAACCAGTCAGAGAAGAGGACCACAATGCATGGCATCAGCAGTGTAAGAATTAGTAGAAGAGCCGAGAAAGGGTGAATGAGGAGAGCTGAGGGAATAAAGTTGGTGCACACTCCCTGTGTGTATAAAGCCGAATGTGTGCAAGAACCCTCCAATGCCCCTGACAGGAAACAGGAAGTACCTAATATTCATTAGCATCATTGATGATTTCCTCCAGTGTTTACTTTTTATTCAGCATGTTTTTACAGCATGTTTGGTGATTGGAAGCTCAGTCACAGTGGTAGACCTTCTTTATTAATTTCTATGGGTCACTAGACCAGTGCCAAGCAGGAACAAGTCACACATCTTTGTCACACATTAACAATGAATCACTTCTGGTAGTTGTCGGTTACTTTTATAGCTTTAGATCTTCCCTGTCTGCTAGGATAAAGGAGGATGACTCTACAGTTTATGATAACAAATATTTATGGGTCACATAGGTATTATTCCATTATTATTAAGGATGACTAAGTTTTCAGAGCAATTCTGCTGCCCCAGTGTTACTGCCCCACCTCCTGTGTGCTACATGTACTTCTGGAGAACATTAACTATATTGGCTTCTACCGCATTGGGCATTTCTCATCCTGTAAGACCATCTAATGACCTCCTTCTCCCCTTCTGCAAAACTGAGTCCTTCTTAACCTTTAAGGCCCTCTAATTAACTCCTCCTCCCCTTCTCCCACATTGGGCCCTTCTTATCCTTTAAAGTCATCTAATTACCTCCTCCTTCTGCTACATTTAGTCATTCTTACCCTTTAAGGCCATCTAATGACCTCCTTCTCGCCCCTTCTCCCACATTGGGCTCTTCTTAACCTTTAAGGCCTTCTAATGAAATAATAACAACAAGAATGATAAAAGTAACAACGATATCATTTACACAGGTGTGCGACAGTGACCTCAATTCCCACTGGAGGAACACAGACCTTTAGGTGTGACGGCATTGTTGGTCGCTACGTCAATATCATTTTACGAGGAAAAACCGAACACCTTCAGCTGTGTGAAGTTCAGGTCTTCGGTGAATACACATACAACTGTCTCAACTAAAGTTCCACAGACAGTAGCACAAGTTTATTATTAAGTCAGTTTTATGAACAGAAGTTGTGATTATTCAAATCTGACATTAAACGGTTTCATTTAAGCATTTTATCAATTGTGAGTCTACTTTCAGTATGGTTCATTAAAGAAAGAACACTTTATTCATTGGTGTGTGACAAAGGTCAGCAGATGATGTTGAGTTGAATATATATATATATATACACACCGATATTCACAGCATGTGATGATTCACATCTTTTGAGGAGGTATTTAAAAAACAAAACAAAACATATGCCAGCTTGTAACGCCTGTCTTTTGGATTGGGGTTTTGTGGATTGCAACTGCGGAGGCTTCTCAGGCACGAATCCCTGGTTACACTCCCAAACTTAACGGGGAGTTAGGGTTCTAGCATCACAGCCCAAAATAATATACTATAAGGTTTGATTAGGGTTATTACTTCAAAAACCTGATCCCACACAGCAATATCAAAGTAAGCAAAAATTAAGTAAGGATGTCACCGTACTCCAGGATAGTATGCAAATAAAGAGTCAATGCTGAATTTGCAAGTACTGTAGATGTAGGCAGGAGATGGTATTGACAAGAGGATATACAGTCTATATCGTATGACGGAGGTGCAGCATGCACAACTACTTGCAGTTTTAGGAGTGGTGTGGAGCTGGGGGTCCTGTGGTCTCTCATCCAAGGTATGGTAGCTGGCAGCAAAGGTTAGAGTAGCTGATGGGTCCCAGGAGACAGCAGGCGTTCAGTTATCAATATTGGAACGCCATACTGTCTCACTGGGGCGTTTTTATAGGGCTAAGAAGCTGGGGGAGGAGCCGCTGATCGGAGCGGCGCACTTCCACGTCCCACGGTGGAACGCATCCGGCCCCCGAACCCGGAAGCGGATGCGTGCGCTCCACTGTGGGACGCAGGAGGCCGGGTCCGAGAAGCGGCGGAATCCCGCAACCCCCGATCCCCTGCTGAGGGCCGACGACGGTTGCCGTTACACAGCTATGTACACCGAGTGAACATGAAGCAGGCATATGCAGTTGCTGTATATTAACAAAGAAATATACTTCTTTATGTCCTCTTCATCTCCTCGTGGCTCCTTTTGAAATGGCCGCCTCTGTGCCCTGCAAGCAGTCCGTAAATTAACACTCTCTCTGAGTTCTCTCCCCTCATTTATTAGTGTTATTAGTGGAACCCCCCTGGACAGAGTATTGTGACCTGGAAAGGTAGAGCTGGCGTGCAGTCATCTTGTTACAGGGAGGGGGTCAGCTGCTTGACAGCCTGCTTTACAATCCAACCCCGCTGTCGTTGAGTTTCCTGTGGAGAAAAATTTGCACTTTGTAGGACTCAGGCCTACTAAAAAATCAATTTAAAAAAAGCCAGCAATGTGAGCCATGAAAATGTACACACATATACATCATCACAGCACCTCAACATAACCACAATGAATGCTAATCACTTACAAAGGTGGAAATGGACTTTCAAGTTATAAGTAAGTTATCATAAAAATGAGTTGTCACTGTGAAGGCTCATTAGTTTTGTTTCCTGTGGATCTGAATTTTTTGTGTTTTTTGGTTTGGATCGATCCTAATTTTTTGCTTCTGGTTTGGATCAATTGAGATGGGCTTCTTTAATTTAAAGGTAATTTGATACATTTGATACACAATTGGGTGGGGGAGTTGGTCATTTTAGTCCGTACTGGTTATCTTTGTCCGTACTGGTCATTAGAACTGGATATTTGGATGAAAAAAATTGGATTAATTCAAATTTCAGATATATTTGAGTTCAGAAATTTGAATGAACTCCGAAATTCAGATGCATCCGAACGTCCAAATTTAAAGAAATCTGTCCAAATTTTAATTTGTAACGAAACTCACATGTCTAGTTGTCACCTAGTTTCTAGTTGAAGGACTTTGCATCCTGTCAACCGGTATGCCAATCCTAATCATGATTTAAGAGCTTGGTTCTAAAAAGCCGAAATCCTAACTCCGATTCTTCGAATGACACAGTTATAAAAATGAATCTATCTATAGCTTTGTATAGCTTAGGGAAGGTCAGAACCCCCTCATGTTTTTATCGGCTTGCGTTTTGTCCCAGCAGGGAATCTTCCTTCTTCTGGAGACAATTGCCACAGCAACATGAAGTGATAGGAAATCCAAAATTTGAGAGTTGGCATCAAAACAAGAGGTGGAGGCATCTGAAACTCAAACTCAGATGATGCCTTTCTACTGTTCCACTGTTCAAAGCCCATTTCGTGTGCACCTTATTGTATAACTGGTAACAAATTGTTGAGTGCGTTTGTCGTTTGTTTTGCTCTGCTCCAGAAACGCGCTTGGTGTGAACAAGGCCTCAAGGTTGCTGATGCTGTGGGATTGCTCTAGAGAAGGAAGGAAATTCTTTATATCTGGATATAAAACAGACTCATGAACATATACAGCAGGGGTGGCAAACACAAGGCTTCCTATACAACCGGCCCTTTGAGGGTAACCATACTGCTGATGCGGCCCCCGATGAATTTGAGTTTGCCACCCCTGATATACAGCATCAAGCAGGGAAAAAAAGAGAAAGTTACATCACACATGCTTTCCAAATACTTTTTTCAATCTAATAATCACCTAAATGACACAGTCACAGCTTACCTTGGATTTTGGTACTTGCCACAAATTATAAATCATTTTTGCAACCAAGTGAGACACCTGATAACAATCTTTAGTGCATTACATATTTAGATCCCCTCTCATCTTCTCTATGTGTATAATAATCTACCCAAATGATCATTGTTTGCATTTCCATGTGCATGATACTTTAGAGAATGCCATGTTTTCAAATCTGTACCTTACAGGACTTGACGCATTTTGTGTATTTCTTTTATGCACTTGGCAAACATCAGACTTTTCTAGCATCTGTTTATCCACCCTGCTCTCCATCTCTTTCTTCTTCAGGATCTCCACCTTCCACAATGTCTTCTTCTTATATCTGAAGGCCTTCATATCCAGAACAGTCGTCCACCTGATTATTACCTCTGTTCTGCTGGGATTTGGATACACGTCTGTGTATCTAGTCTTGATAATTTTTCTTACAAATTCATCTGAAGATTCCATTTTAGATTCAGATTTTAACAAACGTACTCGTATAATATCCATTTTTTATTCTTTGTTAAAGGAGAACTATGAGGGGAGGGCTTTTCCCCATAGTTCTCCTTAGGGTAACGGGAGGACACAAACTAGCGTCCTCCCGTCATCTACTGAGCCGACCTGTGACAGTCTCATTGTCACACCTCGGCTAGAACTATGAGGTGAGTGAAAAGTTCTCCTTTAAACTTGTTTCCACTCCTCGTTTATTTTGCATCTTCAGTCCTTCTGTTTTATTTCCTTGGTCTTCACATGAGCAGGCTGTTCATCCAAAACGAATTTCGGAACGAACCGAATCGCACATGTCTACTGAGAAGCTCTACAAGTATCATGAGCAGTACAGTGCATTTGATTACACCAGTGACTGCCTGTCATCCTGCTGATACATTAATCCTGACTGCCCTGTCCTGTTATTTGGGCCATCTTAGGGAGGCTGTGTCTTTGTTTTAAACAATTTTGAAATGTCATGTATTAGGTGCTTTACCTTTATACCGTTTGATGTTCAAATAAAATATGTTTGATATCTTATATACTATTGAATTACTTGCTCATTGGATCGCTCCGTTTATGGGATTTCTACATTAAGGGGATTGTGCTTTTTGAATGAGCAATAAAGTTTACAGTGGTCTCTGACTTCTGCTTTATGTATTATAGTGAATGTACCTGGACAGTATGGTATAGAATTATTTGGAACTCTGTGGATGTATTTAATTTGCAACATTTTTCCAGTTCTATATACAGTTTACGTAACAATCAAACTAAGGGATCGGCTTTGTATGGTTGTCCGTTTTGGAACTGACTGCTTGTTTAGGGGAAAAGCCTCTCATCCCAAGTCTGGAGAAGTGGTTGAAGTGATCCCTTTGTGATTCATGGAAAGACAATAAATCTATGAAGGCTCCATTCAGGTGTATGTCTGGATGAAACTTTTCTTTTTAGTTTGGCATAAAGTGCCGAAAGATTGGAACCCCTGTCGCATTCTCTGTTAGAGAATTTTTCCCTCAATTACTCTCCCAGGGACAACAATTTTAACAAACAGGAAGAGAAGCTAAATCTCCAACATGAACACAAACATAGAATAAAACTTTTTAGTAGAGTAGGGGAAGGCTAGAACTTGTCAGTTTTTTATTTCTCAACAAAAAATCCTTCCACCTGTACGTTTCTACGCCAGCTTTGACAAAAAATGTCCAGCACCAGACCTCAATGAATTACTAGGGTCCCAAAACCAGAAATTACATAGTGCAAGAGAAAAAAACAAAACACAGACTTTTCGGAGGCACGGGGCCGCCTTTTCTCAACAGACACCTTGAACAACATCAAGCAGGTACCAAAAGGGGACGTATTGTACATCAAATATGATTTCAAGCAAAATGACATAATATAATAATCACTTAGCATACACATTAACTAAAATGCATCACAGATATCGCATGACTCAAACCACGCGATAAATCGAAAGGGGTGGACCGGCCCCGAGTGTGTTGCATAGTCAAATTGTGTCTTATCTTCTTTATTTGACTCAAGTGAACAGTGTATGCATTGCCATTTGCATCATACGATTGTCAGACAGCCTGTGTAAATGTCACATTGCCTGTTCTGCTTGCTGCACCCCTGTCCTAATCAGTTGTGGGCTATTGAACCAAGCCATGCACCCCTAGCTTTATGAATGGTCTTGTCTCCGGAGGTGCTCTATTTAAGCATCATCATCTTGTGCCTTAGTGCTTGTGATATCTTCCCACTACCTTGCTCCAGCACCCCATGTGGCACTAACATGCCTTTTGGATGCCTTACTGCCTGCCTTGACCTCAGAGCTGTCTGGAAACTCACTTTGCCTGTCCTGGTCATGGAACCATCTTTGGAATATTGGACTTCCACTTGCTCTGGCTACCACTAGTGTAGAGACTTCTATGGACCACTCTCTAGTTGAACCACGGACCTCACCTGACACCCAGAGGAACACAGGTACTCTTGTCCTTTTCTTTTGTTTGGTTCCAGGGCTCATCTGACCAGATACTACAGCATTGTGTAATAAGACCTGGAGGCAACCAAGTACCGGTAGGCCAGCTTGCCTTATGGGAACGGGGGCTGCTAAAGGCAGAAGATGCACCCGCTAGCTATAGTTTCTAAACTTTGATACCTGGAAGAGCGTGACAGTGCTAAAGGATGTCATTTTTCCATCTAAGTTATATACATTTCTAAGTTAAACACATCATGAATTGTACTGTATATATGACTGCAGAGATGTCCAATTTTACACAGGGAGAATATGATGAAATTTGGCTTCCAGTTGCCACATCTGGAATATACATCTTGGCAGGACTATTGGTCCAATTCTTCATTGTGACTGTGAATGTCATTGACTGGCTGAAGGGAACATTGATGAAGGTTACTGACCTCATTATCACCTCTATTGGGATATCAAGGATCTTCTGTCTCATTTCTTCCCTATTGCACATGTTTTCAAGTCTGTACCCTACAAAGTTTGATCCAACATTTTGTCTATTTACTTTATTAACTTGGCAAACTTTGGACTCTTCTAGCATCTGTTTATCAGCCCAGCTATCCATCTTCTTCTGCTTCAGGATCTCCACCTTTCATAGCATCTTCTTCTTACATGTAAAGACCATCATATCATCGAGGGTCATCTACCTGATCACTGCCTCTGTACTGCTGGGTTTTGGATACTCGTTTGTGTATCTAGTTGTGAATATTTTGTTCAGAAATGTATCTGAAAATTACATTTCAGACTCTGAGAAACGTCCTCAGATAGTGACTATCTTTTATTTTTTGTGTAGCTTCTTTCCACTCTTCATTTATTTTGCATCTTCAGTCCTTCTGGTTATCTTCCTTGGTCTTCACATGAGCAGACTGAGAAGACGTGGAAGTGTCAT